GAGCCATCTCTAAAATAAAATAAAAATAGCTGCTCCTGGAATAGCACGGCCAGACCATCCAACACAAAGGCGAACACATTTGTTAAATACATTATATTGTTTGCAAAGTCAAATCGTACACAACTAGTGATTGAGGAGGATGGATTTTGCCCGTTTCCTACTCAGTAACAGTTTCCGATACCTCTCTTCCATCTGATATCGATTTGGTATCTTCGGGCGGTCAATTTCAACGGTGGGTGGTTCTGCAGCAACCTCCTCGATATGAGGGATGACTGCTGATTGACGAAGGAGTCGTGTGATCGATGGAGGTAAGCTGGCTAATGAAGAAGCCGCTTTGCGATAAATATCATTCAAGGGTTCTAGCTGACCGCCAGATCCCGAGGCCTTCACGACGTGGCTGGCAAGTTGGCGCAGTTCTTCTGGCTGCATTATATCCCCGTAGTACTCGGAGTAGTCGAACAGACGGAAGGGAACCCGCATTTGAATTGTTCCTTAGACAAGAAAAAAGACTTGTACTCCAGTAAAACACCACAGAGGAGAAGGTGGTTCAAAAGTTGTAGTGTTACCCATATCACGAGCCATTTCAATTGCCAAGAGCAGTGCTTTGTGCTGGACTTCACACAGACCTAAGAGAATACAATCAATAAAAATAGGAATCAAAGTTAGGCATGATTCGCGAGAACATGCAAAAAACGTGTTTTTTATCAAATCCTTACATGATTACAAGCGTTCTTGAAGGCAACATAGAAAGTGTTCTAAACAAAAATCACAAGCATGTATTTTATTTGCAACAATTTGACTGCAAGTAGCGATATGACAAGTAAAGGCGTCGTCGGTGGATAAATTGCTCTTCAAATAATGCCCATCCAGAAAAAAAGTATTAAACGCCAATCCCTGTAATCCAACAACGAAGTTTTAATCAGGAGTTGCAAATTTGTAAATCTGGATTTCCTCTATAAAATTGGCACGATAATGACTGACTTAGAGTCATTTAGAAGAAAGAATGCCTACTTGGTATTCAGAATATAAAATTAGGGCTTTTATGAAAGCTACTTATAGAGTACAAAATACCGAAGACTCCCAAGGTGTTCCAAAGCTGTCAAACAATAAGGTCAAAAGTAATCAGTGGCTTAGGCAAGGGCAAATGAAACTACAATAAGGGAGAAAGGGATGGGGTTTGCGTACCCACGAAATCAAATTATCACCTGTGACTTTGGGCTCCAGAATGTCGGACGAAAGTGGATGGAGGAATTGCTTAAGAAGGCCTACATTCTAGCAGAAATGTTATTATTAAATAAAGTTCCAAACATGCCTTGTGGTCAATGACTAGATATTCATCACGGCAAATGGGACAGGGATTTGAGGTAATCAATCGGTGGGCCCTCTATAAAGTATCAACTGGTAAAGACGATTCAATTTTCCATTCAGCTGGCACGCTCAAACTAGATTCAACTTACAGTGCACGACTTTCTCGGATATTTAGGTGGAAAATGACCTTTGTAGTTACGTCTAAAATAAAACCAGACAGGCTTCCCGCGATAGAGCTCCTGGTACTCTAAAAATGAAATCAAATAAAAATCAAAAAGTCTACCAGGACTTGAAAGATACTGAATGCTTTCTTCCAAAGAGACGGGCTTATACGGCTTTCCTCGGAAATTGACTCGCATGGGAAGTTCTTCAAGAGGTACACCATTTTTCATTGCAGCCCTGTAGGCAACAGCTGTAGGTTCAACCAATTTCGATGCGGATGAAAAGGACTGGTAAAGAAATGTCAAGGCATTCTCACAACATCGATAGTTTGAGACACTGGCGAAAGCGATCGCAGCCCTGATTATGTACATAATTGTTAAATTGTTCCAATGGAGCTAACCAATCATTACTTGGCCAGCTAGTGTTGAACTTTAAGATTTTTAACCACATTGGCTCTGATAAAGCTTACAAATGTAAGCTAAAACCTGCAAATCCTTGC